AATCACCGCTTCAGGCTGAGCTGAGAAGATCCAGGGCTGCGCTCGTGCCGGATACAGGAGCGAGGAAAGGGGTCTGCGCTGACGACCCGCGCGCGTGCACACACACATGCACATACACGCGCGCGCACGCACGCACGCGGGCATCTGTAATGCAGGCACAGAGTCCGGGCTGGGGCTGCCAGGGAACAGCAGGTCGCTGCTCTGGGGCACTAATGGAGCAGCCGCCCAGCTGTGAGCAAGACACGCTTCTTAAAGACCCGGCCCAGGAGCTAGACCTCACGCTGCGGGGCACCTCGCGGGGTGCATGAGCGGTGCTCCGTACAACGGGGACACTCGCACGGGCGCGTCACCTGCCCGCCGTAGGACCTTACGGAGGGAGGAGTGGGAAAGCCCCACCACCCCTCACATTCACCTCCTGACCGAATCAGCCACAGCTCGAGATGGGCAGACGCGCGGGCCAAGCAAGGGTCTGGGGGCCCTGGCTCCTGCACCCTCGGGCCCTGCCACGTCCACGTCCACGTCCGCGGCCCCTGCCCCTGCCCCTCATCCTCTGCTCCTCCGCCTTCTGCGAGCCTCCGGGCTTGCTCCCTCCGCTCCACGGGCAACAGCAGGAGAGGTTTTCCATGTTTCTCATCAACTCGTTAATGATTTTCGAGCTTAAGCTACTCAGGCCAGGCCCCGAAGCCGCTCTGGACTCGGAAACTTGTGACCCACAGCTCAGCCAGCTCCAGTCCGCTCCCGGGGAAGAGCCCTCTAGGTTAACAGCTCTTCCCAAGGGGCCCAAGGCCGCCTGAGCAGGGTCAGCGGGTCCGCTGGCTGACCTTTGCTTCAGACCCTAAGCCCCGACTTCAGACTCCCTACTCCATCTTGTTCTTTCTGTCCATCCCCTCCCCCAGCAAATCGTCTTGTCCCCCATTCAAAGGCCTCTGTGCCTTCACTGTAAAGGTGCAACCTGGCAGACGCGATAAGGTTTATCACAACCTTGCAAACAGAAAAAGAAACACGACGGCCTGAGACTAAGGAACTCAGCTCAAGGCTTCTGGTTCACAAGATGGTGGCCTGAGCACATGAAGAGATCTTCACTCTCTCCGGGGATCACACCTTTAAAAACGGCTGCTGGAGAAGGAGCCACAGGAGAAGCGACAGCCTAGAACCCGTGGGGTGGAGGCTACAGTTCTGCGCAGGCTGACCCAGCCCCCAGCCCCAGACTCTGGCCTCAGAGCTCACGGGAAAGGCAGTGGACATGAGTGGGGCGGGCTCTGGCTTTTCTGTACTTTCAAATGAAAAAAATTAAATCTACAGCCAGCTCATCTGACTCCCGTGCAAGGAGGACAAGCCGCCGAAACAAAGCTGCTTACATTTTGGTACCAAATTATGATGTGCATTTATTTCCTACTTCTTTATAAGCTACAAGATGCATCTAGAACCATGAGGAGAAGGCGAAAGGGGCATCTGGCTGGCTCAGTCAGTAGAGTTTGCGACTCCTGGTCTCAGGGTTGAGTTCAAGCCCCATGTTGGGTATAGAGATTACTTAAAAATAAAATATTAAAAAAACAAAAAATATTCAAACAAACTAAAAAACAGACAGCAGTGGGGGTTCCAGAAAATGGAAGCCTCCACTAACAGAGAACTTAAGGTAACAACAGATCTTTATTAGACCTTCATCTGGAATTAAGAAATAAAAATATTAGCCTACCACATTTCTATAGTGAAAATCGAGCCTGTTCATCACTTGGCCTGGGAAGTGGCATCACTTAGGTCTAGCGATTAACAGACACCCTGAAAGACTGGCAGTCAGGACACCGGAAGGTCTAGTCCTGATTCTGTGTGACCTTGGGCAAATGACTCCACTTCCTTGTGACTGAGGTCCCTCCAGAAAGGAAATGACTGGTCCTGACTTTCCCCTAGGACTAATGTGTGAAGTTAGGACATGCACCAAGTAGGCTTGCAGAATTCTGAGCAGAGCGCGGTATGAGCCAGTACTGTTGAGAAGGTTAAGGGGGAGACAGTAGGCGGAGAACAGAAAGACAGTCATAAAAATGGTGGAGTCACACATAGGCTGGGTTTTAAAAAAGGAGGAAAAAAAAAAAGGAGTTTCCCAATGACAGCCCCATGTCCCAGAAGAAAAGATCCAGTAAGAATCAGGGGCCTCTAGCAAGAGTCAACAACTGATGGGGGAACCAGGCATCCGCACTCAAAAGAAGGATGTTGGACTTCTACCTCATACCATGTACAAAAAGCAACCTAAAATCAATCAAAGGCCACTGGAGAGCTAAAACTGTAAAAATATCTTAGAAGGAAACAAAGGCATAAATCTTCTTGACCTTGGATTACACAGTGGTTTTTCAGATACTACACAAAAAGCACAAGCAACAAAAACACGTATCTTAGACTTCATCCAAATTAAAAACTTTTGTGCTCCAAAGGACGTCGTAAGAAAGTGAAGACAATACACAGAATGGGACAAAGTTTTACCATATCATGTATCTGATAAAGGATCTCCATCTAGAGTATAAAGAGAACTCATGCAACTCAGGATTAAAAAAAGACAAATGACCCAAACACAAAGGGGCAAAGGATCTAAATAGTTCTCCAAAGAAGACATACAAATGGCCAATAAGCACATGAAGAGAGGCTCAACACTATTAGCCATCAGGGAAATGCAAATCAAAACCACCAGGAGACACCACTTCACACCCATTAAGAAATGCTCTAATCAAAGGCAGATATTTAGCAAGCGTTGGTGAGGATGTGGAGAAATTGGAGCCTTCGTGCGCTGCTGGTGGGAAATGTGAAAACGGTCTGACTGCTTTGGAAAACGGTCTGGCTGTTTCTCAAAAAATTAAACATAAAGTTCTATATGACCCAGCAATTCCACTCCTAATATATACCCCAAAGAAATGAAAACATATGTGTACATAAAAACTTGTACAACTATGTTCATAGCAGCATTATTCATAATAGCCAAAGAGTAGAAACAACTCATGTTATCAATCAACCGGTGAATGGATATACAAAATGTGGTAGGTATATCCACAGACCCGGGTCTGTGTGGCGGGTCCTACACATGCAGTGTAGTGTAGAACGAAATATTACTCAGCTCTGAAAAGAACTGAAGTATGGATACATGTTCGACATGGATGACCCTAGAAAACATTTAGTTTAAAAAAAAAACAGCCACAAAAGGCCACCATGACAGGTCCAGAATAGGTAAATCTATATGGAAAGGAGATTTGCAGTTGCCTAGGACCAGGGAAGTTGGGGGGAGAGAGGGAAGGTGATCACTAAAGGGAATAGGGTTTCTTTTGGGGGTGAGGAAAATCTTCTCAAATTGAACGTGCTGATTCTGTGAATTCACTAAAAACCACTGAGTTGTATACTACTATAAATGGGTACACTATATGGTATGTGAACTACAGCTCAATAAAGCCGTTACCTGCTCCCCATCCTCCCCTAAAACAGAAAAGGAATCAGGAGCCTGTTGTACTCTGGAGGAACACCATACCTGTTGTCCCCACATAACCATGACCAGAGAGCCCCTTTCGCCATCTGAAGTGGCTTGATTTATATGATAAATTTCTATCACTGCCCTGTCACTACGTGATTATCAGGCAGGTGGCTTTGCCCCTCTAGGCTTCAGTTTCCTCATCTGTAAAACAAGGTCTACCCAGTTCTGATCATCTTTGACCCTAACACTATATTCCCTACAGTCCCCAAAAGGTCCACTTCAGAAGTTGTAAAATCCTGCTCGGTTGGTCATAGGGCTTCCTGGTGCTTTGGAAGATAAACCTAAGTTAGCAAAGGGTATAGATGACTGGGTCCCAGGAAACAGAGGCAAGATGAAGACTAATTCCTGAGTAAACTCAAATTTCCCCATAATTAAGCCACTAAGAGAGGTGATCCAACCATCCTAATGCAGGCAAAATGCCCTAAACACTCCCTCTACACATGAAAAAAGATAAAACATTTAAATGGGGGCCCTCAGAGAGGAGACAAAAGTCCTTAGGAAACTTGGCAAGTTTGGCAGTGGTTAACCAAGGTCTTCTCTAACGGGGACTTGGTTCAGTCCATGTGCAAGGGCCTGCTATCATGACTGTCAAGGTCATCTGATCACGCAGTGGGACACTCATTTCCTAAAATGTCCTCCTTTTATCCATGACTGCTGAGGAAATAAAATGATATAAAAGAAGTTCAAGAAAAAATAAATCATTTTGTTCTCATCCCTTTTATATGCGTGAAAAAGTACCTGAAAATAGTTGTTCTAGCCTCTCCCTCCCTCCCAAGGGCATAGACCCGGGTCTGTGTGGCAGGTCCTACACATGCACTCTAGTGTCTACATGACTAATACAGAGACAGGAGAGCCCATCTCTGGGCGCTGCGGCGGCAGGTCCTTAGAAACGAGAGTGCAGGTGAAAGAAGCAGAAGGCACAGAATAAATCCCATTCTCATCAATCCATCCAAGAACTGGAAAGACGGACGCTCACCAGCGTCGCTGAGAAGGGAAACCAACATGAAGACAGAATGGAGGCGACCCACCTACATCCAGTCAGCAGTCCTGGTCATGGAGACGGTTACCAAAGAAGGGGAAGGTTGGGGGTGAGGCAGGGCTTTCCCTGGAGGCAGGGGAGTGGTTCAGGAGGGTACAGTGGCACCAAGATACCCAGTGAACTAGCCTCCAATAAGGGAGTGAGGGGTTTCAGAGAAGATGCCCCCCAGGGGGGCATCTGTTTGCCTCTCTAGGACAGTAGGCAAAGAACAAGGAACCATTCAAATGCTGGAGGCCAAGAAGGGCAAGAAGAGCCATTGGCTTTCTGCATGCCAGAGACTGCATCCACGGGTTTCTGCTGGTTATTGGTCCGTGGTTTTCACAGACTGGGCCAAGTCCCTCCTAGTCACAGCTTGCCAGGTGAGGCCGCAGCTTACAGAGGTGCAATTTCTATGTCCAAGGGAATCCACGGGGCTGGGAGGTGGAGGCTCTACTTTACACACGCTACTTCTGCTCAGAGGCCACATTTCAGGATGATGTGATAGCCATCATTGCTCTCGGCTGCAAAGAGAAACACTGGGCATTTTACAGGAAGAAAGGCACGACGCTGTGACCTTGGGGAATTGGGGAGGGCACGGTACTGGTGTACCAGCAGAAGCCCTGCCAGGGGTATTGGCTCCAAATACAACTGCATAGAGCGAAGTGTGCTAACAAAAACAGGTATTTTAACACATGCCTTCACATGCCTTCTGCCTTACTGAGTTTCTCTTTGGCAATGGGCCTTTCTACCATAGCTCTAGGCCCAAGAACTAAAGGCTCTCTCTATCCAAGGCGGCTTTGGAGAAACTGTGGTTCTCAGGGTATTATGGCCCCCAGAGCTCCGAAGGCAGGTGCTGGCTAGATCCAGAGAACAGGGGAGGACAGGAATGGCCCTGTCACCGTTCAGGGTCTATGACCCAGTCATAGGGCTTTCATTCTGATATACTGCATACATTCACCTGCCCCAGCCCTAAGGAAGGTCACAGCTAGTCTCCCCTTTCTCCTGGCACAAGATGTTCCTTCTCAGACCCCTTCCTCAGGTGAAACCTTCATGCCCCACCCCTGCCCCAGATCCCTGCCCCACTAGGCCTGCAGGCTCAGCTGCTGTATTCCACACTTGCTCCTCCTGGAGACCCTCATTATAGAAAAACTCAAATGCATCTTACTTCTACTCAAGTACTGAGTTCATGGAGTTCACTTCTACTCAAGTTCACGTTGCCTGGCCAGGATTTCCCTTTCAGAACTGATTTTGGAGCCAATCTCCAAAGTTCTCACATCTCCAGGGCAGGGTTTCACAGGACGTGAAATGGGAAACGTCCTTTTCCCCAGAGGATGTTCCCAGATGTCTCTCAAGGGACCCACTGTGCGGGCAGGCCCCACTTACTTCGATTAAACAAGAAAAAGGGGTGTGCGGGGAGAGGGCTTTACCTTTTAAGGTACTGAGGATAAAACAAGACTCATCTTGAAAATTCTGCACCATCTGAAAGGCAAAAAGAGAGACCATGTCCCTTCAACAGTGAGTTCATAATATGAAAAGCCTCAGTGACACGGGGCCCAGCCACCGCAGGGAGGCAGAAATGACAGTCACTGTGTTTGCACAAATGCAGGAAAATGGTTCCACTTAACACTCACTAAGGAAACACGAAACAAGATAAACGTACGAGATGATCGCAGTCGTAATTAACAAAACCTGAACATAAAGGACAGAAAGGAGCCAGGCAGGGAAGCGAAACGTTAACATTTAATACAGGACTACATGTTTGTTTGCTTTTGTTTTCCTTTTTCCTACTTACTAGGACCTCCAATCTCTGTAACGGACACATTATAAGAGCATGTATGTGTATAATAGCAACAAAGAAAAAAATAAAGTCCTTAAAAAAAAAAAAAAACCTTGGTAATTAGCAGCCTCTGCATATCAGAGTCCTATGAGGACCAATATAAACATAGCGCCACTCCCTATGTCTACAAAGTGGCAGGGACAGAAGGATTACTCAGCCGCCTCTGCAGTTCTCGTTTTGATTAACTACCAGGTGACCTTGGAGAAGTCAGCCTTTCCCCTTCTGGTCTCCGTGCCCCATCTGTAAAATGGGGCTGCTCCCATGACAAAAGAACAGAACCAATATACAGAAGGATAGGAATTGGCTCCCACTGCCGGTGGAGCGTTAATCTCTACAACCACTTTACAAAGCTGTCCACAGGATCGGGTACCTTACTCCTCCGGGCCAGTGTCCCAGAGAAAGCCCTGCGCGTGCGCACACAAAGCACACCTAGGAACGCTGACAGCAGCAATGGCTGGTAAGAATGGGAACTGGAGGGGCACCTGGCTGGCTCAGCCCGAAGGGCACGCGACTCTTGATCTCAGGGTTGAGTTGGAGCCCCACGTGGGGGGCAGAGATTATTTGCATAAAAACTTAAAAAAAAAAAAAAAGATAACTGGAAGCAGCCCCCGTGTCAATCAGTAGTAGAAGCATGAATGAACTGTCACCTAATCACGCCACGCCATCCAGTGGGCCAGGGGCCTCCGGCAGCATCTCAACATGCTGAATCTCAAAATCTATGAATCTCAAAAACATAAAGTAAAATGAAAAGAAAGTCACAGAAAAACATGCTATTATCCACCTATATGAAGTCTTAAAATGGGCAAAATTAAAACAATGTATGGAGGAAAAGGGAATAATTAGTACAAAATTCAGACCAGCAGGTGGAGAGGTGGAGAGGTGGAGTGGAAGAGGAAATCAGCCCACAAAGAGGCTTCTAACATAATATTGCATTAACCTGAGTGCAGGTATTGGGCACTTACTTCTTCCTTAAACTGTAAAAATAAGTTCCATATACCCCTTGCATACATATGCCGTACTTCACAATATAAATGGAAAGACCATTTTAAAAATACTTAAATATACCCACAACACACATACTAGCTAACACGCAGCAAAAACCCTTTCCAAATTAAAAAAAAAAAAAATGCAACCCACATGTCATTGCCTCCTCTGGATTATTGCCCCAAATCCTGCAAATCCATCCACCTGTCGACCCCTGCCCCTCCCTGCAGAGGCTAATGATGCGTGAAGTACATTTATTCTATACTGCTGGCCTGCTCCCTCTAGGACTCTTGGCAGCCCAGCCACTTGGGCATGCGAAGCCCTACGCAGAGCCCACATGGGCTTAATCAGTAACTCCCTTGTTTAATTAAGTGCCCTTGCACCTCAGGCGCCGGCTCCGCGCCTGGCCGGGCTGCCTCCAGCAGTCGGGGCAATTAAGAACCAAAGGTTTCCAATTGATTCAGGGTTAAGAGGCAAGGAGACGTCGGGGAATATGAATCGCCTACTTAGCTGAGGTAGCACTGTGGTTCTGTTCTCTGCTTCACTTGCTTAACTGCCCACTCGGGAGGGCACAGGGCGAGCTGGGGAAGGGACTTCCTGCAGGGACCCGTGACATGGCAAGGGTTCCGCACATTCTTGGCTTTTGTCTTCACCAAAGAAATTCATTCCAAAATGCAGAGTGCCGAGTTTTCCTGCGCCCCCACAGCAGCCCATTGCTCAGGTGTCGTAACCTCCCTGGCTATTCTCAAGGAAGTGCTCAGGTCAGGAACCCTGGGCTCCAGTCTGTCTGGGAAGTGGAAATAGGGAAACAGCTGCCTGAGATTTCAATGGAATGATATGGAAGGAATTCTGACCCGGGGGCAAAACTAGCCAGTGGCAGATAAATGTACAGTTGGATCTCTGCTGCGTGTTTTAGGAATCCACACCTACACAATGCTCAGGCACACGACAGATGCCCGCACAAAACATTATCTGGCAGAATCACATCTAAGCTAATATGTACTCCTCTAGGAAAAGAGTAGGGAAGACAAGTGCCTTTCGCATTTGCCTTTTGTATTTGCCCGCCGCTGTTTTATATTTCCTGACTTAAGCTGTGAATTTTTTTTTAAGTAATCTCTGCACCCAACATGGGGCTTGAACTCACAACCCCGAGATCAAGAGTCTCATGCTCCCCCAACCGAGCCAGCCAGGTGCTCCATGAACTGCTTTTTAATTCAAGAGGAAGGAACCCACCAGCGCTTTGCCAACCTCCAGGGCCAAACTCCCATGAAATGGGGACTCCCATTCAAGGGGCTCAGGCAATTGTAATGACAAGTGGGAACAGGATTATCACCAATAATGACAATATATGAAATATACAAACCATTACAAGCCTTACAGTTCATATACTGTCAAATTTAAAGATCTCTCCATTACTTGCTCTCCTAAGTTAAAAGTGCCTAGCACCATCAATTACCACCACCACCAGCTTATCTGGTATCTCCGGGTGCCTGACACTGTTTTCTGTTTTCTCATTTGATCCTTACTACAACCTGCTCAGTGGGTGTAATGATCCCCATTTTATAGATGCGGAAACAGAAGCTCAAAGGGGTTAAGTAAATCTGCCCAGAGTCACACCACTCCTGGCAGCAAGGTCCGGGCGGGAACACATGTCCGATTCCAGAGCCCACATTCTCTCTACTTCCCCAGACACCATTCATGTACCATTTCCTCTACAAAGATGCTCTCAGAGCTCCCACAATAGGCTTGCTGGAATCTGCTGGGGGCTCAGGGTGGCCCCCCCCCCCACTCCCATCAGCCCAGCTCTGTTTCTTTAAAGGCCTCATTTCAGGGGAGATGGTCTCTGCAGCTGGACACCAGGGTTCCCACCCTAGCTCCACCCTTTACCGGCTGTGCAACCTGAGGCAATTACTCAGCCTCTCTGGGCCTCAGTTTCTTACCTGTGAAATGAGATTTCACCCAGTTCATAGGGAGGCTGTCAGGATTAATAAATGAGTCACAACATGTGTACTTAGGACAGTAAGCAATGGATAAATGCCAGCACTCCAGACTATTATTAGCAAGAGGAGGGGTCCAGGATAGAACAAGCTTAAAAACGAGGCACCAGGAATGCCTAGATGTAGCTGCAAACCCTCCTTGGCCATGATGGGACCAGATCACTCTGCCCTCTGCCAGAGGCCACTCGTGCCCCACACAGATCTGTGTAGCCAAGGGCAGACCCAGGGAGGCCGTGGCATCTTCGCAGGTCAGCAGAGAAGGGTTCTGGGCTCCCATGTGACCTGCGTGCTCTCCATCACCTGGACCACCTTCCATTCCACGGCCCCTGGGACCTGCCGCTCTCCCTCCTCCTGACTTCTCACAGCCCTGACTGTTTAAGCATCCCGGGGGCAGGGGTGCAGTCAATGCCATGGTTCCTGCATGGCGTACGGCCGAGGACAGGGTAAGGAGTGGATACTAGGTAGCTATTCAGAGCCTCGGAACTCCCCCCACACCCCCGCCCCTGCACTCCAGGGGTAGCCAAGAGCCTGTGGCATGCAGACGAAACCCATTTGCCATCTTTGGGCAGAAGTTATCCCCAAACCCCAGCGGGGGGCGTTTCTGGCGCAGGTCTGCCGTGCCTCCCTACGGCCCCAAGCCCTGGGCCACGAGTGGGGGTGGGGGCAGTGCTCACCTCGTTGCTCACCACCACATGGATGCCCGTGGGGCCCTGCCGGTAGACTCGGTGGATATGCTGGGGGGAGATGCTGTACAGGTTGGCGATCTTCTCAACCAGCTCCAAGGTGGTCAGCTCTTCCAAGAAGATGGCATGGTACACTGGAGGGGCAAGGGACAGGGCCTTCTATAGAACACACCCCTGCTTTCTGAGGAGACTGCCTATCCCCAAGCCCAACCAACCCCCCCGCCCCCACCAAAATCAGTCCCTCGGTTGTACGGATACTCATGCCCAGACCCATTCCGTGGGATCTGGCTGTAACAGGCACAAAGCCTCCGCAAAGCCCAGTGGCAAGGGCAAGGCAGCCAGGCCACGGTTCTTCATTTCTGTACCAGCCTCTCTTGGGAGATCATACATAAAATGGAGAATTCCCGCATCCAGCCTGTACCCAATGACACCCATGGCGGCACAGAGGCTGGAGAGCTCTGTATTTCTAACAAGCTTCTAGTGATTCTGACGTGTGGCCAGATGCACACCCTTGCGAGAGGAAGAACTCCTGCATTCCCTTTCCTTTCTTTCCACGGCTTAGAGGGGTCACTGGATGGCTCCAGGGGGGCAAGAGCGGGATTTAAGGATAACTCCTACTTTTTAAAAAAAATTTTATTTAAAATCAATGAATTATCATATAGTATATTAGTTTCAGACATAGAGCTCAGTGATTCGTCATGTAGAACGCCCAGTGCTCATCACATCACGTGCCCTCCTTAATGCCCACCACCTGGTTACCCCATCCCCCACCTCCCCTCCCCTTCCCCAACCCTCAGTTTGTTTCTTATGATTAAAAGTCTCCTATGGTTTGTCTCCCCCTCTGATTTTGTCTTTTTGTTTTTCCCTCCTTTCCCCTATGATCCTGTTTTGTTTCTTAAATTCCACATATGAAGAGATCATATAATTGTCTTTCTCTGACTTATTTCGCTTAGCATAACACCCTCTAGTTCCACCCACGTCGTTGCAAATGTCAAGATTTCATTTTTTGATGGCTGAATCATATTCCATTATGTACACATACACCACATCTTCTTTATCCATTCATCTGTCCATGGACATCGGGGCTCTTTCCATAGGTTGGCTACTGTGGACATCACTGCTATAAACCTTGGGGTGCAGGTGCCCCTTCAAATCACTGTGTTTGTATCTTCTAGGTAAATACCTAGTACTGCAATTGCTGGGTCGTAGGGTAGCTCTATTTTTAACTTTTGGAGGAAGCTCCGTACTGTCTTCCACAGCGGCTGCCCCCGCGTGCGTTCCCACCAGCAGTGTAGGAGGGCTCCCCTTTCTCCGCAAGGGGTAACTGTGACCTGACATCACAAGGGTCTTGTCCTTGCCCTTCTCCACAGCACAAATACCACTCCACTCCAGCACCGTGACCACAAAGGGAAAAGGGGCAGTGGGAGCACCCCCAGCCCACTGGAAGAGAACACTGACCCGGAGGCTGGAAATGCTTCCTTATAGGAAACCCAGCTCGATGGGTGCCCTGGGGCAGATGACTCAACACTGGGGGGCGGGGGAGGCTCAGGTTTCTCAAAAGCGAAGCACAACAGGATTAAACTAGAGGTTCCCGAACTCCTACCTCAACTGAGGAACCCTTGGTTTCAGAGGCCCTGTATTTCCAAAGCACATATGCACGTGCACACACAACACACCAGCTCCCTCTGAGAGGGGGTGGCAGAGGCCATGGCATTCCAGCCACACGACAGATCTGCCGTCCCAGGATTTCAGACAGGCTGACCCACCATCAGACTCTGTGCAGAGCACGTGGCCACCGCCCCTCCCAGTGCGGACAGCAGGTAAGAATGCCACGGCTCTTGTCTAGCATTGCCTTCTATGACAGATTCGAATGTACTTTTGTTGCTTTTCAACATTTCGGAGGCCCTTCCGCTTTTTCTGAGTTCACTTCTCCAACAAATCAGGCCGGCCAGAAAGACCTAGACAGCTTGCAGGCCAGCGTGTTTTGTTGTAACCTGTGGCCACCAGCCTTTCCTGCCCCAGGTGAGTGTGGGGGCGGCCAGGAGTGCTTGGGGCAGCTGAGGGGTCTGTGGGACACTCCTCTGAACGCCTCCCAAGCCACCTCTCCAGGGCCATGTCGGCAGCAGCTCAGGGAAACCTGAGGCTCTAGAGTAGGCAATCCCAGGCTGATGTCCCAACTCAGCCACCCTAGAAGCAAGCCCTAAAACAATCTCTACACGTCCTGGGGCCCCAGGGTGTGTGCAGGGGCAGCACCAGCTCTTGGGGCCTCCAGGAGCATAAATCAGAGCTGTGCTTGGAGCACCTGCCCTGAGCAGGTGCCGTGCACGAGGCTGCCCTTTCCGCATGTGCAGGAAACCCCAAGGCTCAGGATCTGTCCTTCACAGGCTAACAGCTGAGAAGCAGGGTGAGGACCTAGCCGCTCTCCAGAAATGTAGAGGGGCCAGACGGAGGGCTCAGAAGCCAGCCCCCAGGGTCCGAATGTTTGGGTCCTGGCTCTGCCATGTACAATGCTGCCATCTGGGGACAGTGATCCACCCTGTGCCTCAGTGTCCCCCCCAGCGAAACAACATTACCAACAGTGCCTACTAGGAGAAGCGAGTAAGCAAGCACACGGGAAGCCCTTTGGACAGGGACTCGGTGAGCCTTCCTACTCCTCCGGTGCTCCCTCGCTCTCTGCAGACATATGCAGAAGAGCACGGACTCTGCAGCTTGAGACCGGCCACTGGTCAGACCGTCAGCACTCACAGACGCTCAGAAGCAAGGCACTTCGCCTTACACGCCTTGTCTCACCGAAACCTCCCACCTCAGGGGGTAGCGTCGCTATCTGCACGTGCAGAAGCAGATGCACGAGCCCTGGTGCCCTTCCCAAGGCCACACGGCCAACACGCGGCATGGCCAGCACTGGTGTCCAGACTCAGCTGACCTCGAAGCTTCTGTCCTCTCACCAAACTGCCTCCAAACTGCCAACCCAGAAGAGTCACATGCCCCTGAGGTAGCTCTAGCTCCCACAGCCGTTCTCCTTTGCCCTCGGGCAGCCACCAAACCAAATGGGAAAGACTCGTCCAGCTGGGGGGACACCACCATAGGAGGAAGCGCTCCGGCATTCAGGCCATCGAGCGTCACTAGCCTGGGAGCCGAAAGGCCTGATGCCCAATTCTCCCACGAGTGGCTAAGCTAGCGGCTGTTGGGGGACACATCCCCTCTCTGGGCCTGCTCCCCAGGGAGCAAATAAGTAAGCTGAACCAGCTGTTCCGGGACAGGACTTCCACCTTAAATATTTCAATTCCAGGAGGAAGTTTAACAAAAACTCATCCTTTGGAAAAAAAAAAAAAAACACCTTCATCCTTGGAGAAAGCAGAGTGAGGTGATCGGTGGACACGTTCTCGGCAAGAGGACTCATGTTGCTGCTGTGACCTGGCCACCCAGTCAACAGCCCTGGGTTGGTGGGGCAAGGGAGGGCTCCCCACAACTCACCACACAGACTGCTGTCCCCACCACCATCCCGCTTCTGCTGCAGCGGTGCTCGGTTCTGCTCCAGCTCCTGACAGACGTAAATGGTCATCTTTGGCCTCACATTCCTGGCAGGAGGAGGGGAAATAAATAGCAGGTATTGGGGGAGGGGCGTGGTGGGGAGGAACATTCCAGAACGTCCCAGAACACAGGGTGGAACTAGCAGAGAAGGATTCAGGGAGAAGAAAGGAGGCCGCGGGGATGCAGAAGGCCTTTGGCTGGGCCTCTACGGCTTCATGCAGGTTTGCCCAGAGGCAGAAGGATGGCCAACCCCTCCAAGTCCTGTGTAAGCTGCCATGAGGGCGCTCTGCCCAGAACATGCGTCTCAAGACACAAGGTGTTTTTCAGGGCGATGACAAGAGCAAACACTTTCTCGGGCTTACCCTGCCCCAGGCACCATTTCCAGAACTTCATATGCCTACCTCATTTCATCGTCACACAACTAGGGTGCTGGAACCACGGCCCTCCTTTTACAGAGGAGGAAACCGAGGCTCAACAGGGGTTAGGGCTTTCGTCTAGTGAACAACTCGTAAGAGGCAGACCTGAGATGCACACCCAGGCTCTCGCCCTCACTCTAAAACTGTGCTGTCCACGCGTGAAAGGGAAATGAGATTTAAAACTCGCTTGGTCAGTCATATTAGCCTGAGACAAAGCGCCCCACAGCCACATGTGGCCAGGGCTGCTGGACTGAAGAGGGTGGCCCTGAACATATCCACTGTGGCAGACCCAGCCCATCCCTGGCTGAGATGGGGCTCCCTGCCATACCCTGCGTCCAGCTAGAAACTGACACCCACCGGCCTTTGATGGCATTGAAGAGCCGGATCCCATCTGCAGGGCCACAGATCTGGACCAAATCGTCTCGAGACATCTTGAGCAAGTCAGCACCTAGTCAGGGAAATGGGGCCGCCCATTAGGAGGACACACAGAAAAACTTCTGTCCTCAGGCACCTGCAGACGTTGCACGGTGACAGAGTCAGCCTCATGCTCAGGGAGCACTGGACGTTCCACGGAGACAGAAACAACAAAAAGCTAAATATCAGGAAATCACAGCCCCAGAGATGAGTGGTGTTCTCAAAGGTCAGAAAACAGGCATTTACCAAAGCCGACAGGTCCTTACCAGCTGTGCTCCCTGTCCCTCCCTCTGTACCGTTTACTGGCATGTAACAGAAGTGCATGTAACCTAGCACAGGCCGCTGATGACACGCGCACTTGTCTAAATGCAGAGGTACACAGCTCCCTGCATGCGGCCACTGGGAGTGAGAGGCAGAACATTCCCACCTCCCACTGGCCCCCCAGGCCGGCCACTCCCCTGCCTCTGGGGAACCACCATCCTGACTGCTCGTGCTTAAAAGTCTTGCTGGCTTCTTTGAAGTTTACATAAGCGGAATGGAATAGGATGTACTTTCCCATGCCCGGCTCCCGTCCTCCAAGTCCTGTTTAAGGGCTCATTCATGGTGTCTGTGGTTAGAGATCACTCATGGCCATTATCAGCTAATATTCGTTGCATGAATACACTACAATCACGTGTCCATTCTCTGCTGATGGGCACGGGGGTTGCTCCCAGCTGGAGAGATTATGGATAAAGATCTATGAACATCCTTATCGGTGGATGCAGTCCCTCCTCAAAGCCCAAAGAGTCCCTTAGAGCCTTATGCCCATGTGGCCTCTCCAAGGGACAAGTATGCTACCAGCCTTCTGCTAAAAACCAGCCGGCAACCACATGGCCAGGAGCGACGATATCCATCCCCCTTTTCCTGCCACGGTGCAGATGCAGTTTCAGGCATAGCTCTGCAGGCACAATGGCTCCCACTACATAAGGAGTAAAAGCGCCCAAAATCCCTCCATTGTTCTACCAGGCCCCTCGGTCCCTCTCTGACCTCATCTCCTTCCCCAGTCCACTTAGCCCCACTCACCTGGGTGCCCAGCTCTGCGGCCACACACCAGGCAGGCCCCCACCCTGTGGCCCTTGCACTTCCCCCCTGCTTGGACATTTCACTGGCCCCCTACCCACTTGGCTCACTTCCTCCCCTGGGCCCAGCCCCTGCTCAAGGGCACCGTCTCGGGAAGGCCTATGCTGAGCAACCCCCCTCCCGCCCCGAAAATGGCAGCATCCCTCCCTGCTCCTCCCTAACCAGAGCCAGGTCCCTCCTCTGAGCCTGCCCACCACCAAAGGGTCACGTTGCACTGAAATATGTGGTTCACACATCTGTGCAGACTCAAGGCTGCAAGCTCCTGAGGACGGGGTCCCTGGCCGACCCTCCTCGTACCTGCCTCCCCCAACACAAACGAAGTTCTTGCAGAAGCTGAGCTGAGAGACAACCATGTGCGGTTTTCCTTCCCCTCTCACAGATGTCCTTGGGAGCCACTCCTCTAGTTCTGGGTCAAAACTTTATTCCTGGTCACTGTGGATTGACTCCACTTGGTGGCAGGGTTCACTGCTCCATTTACCCTTTTGCCAGACAGCCCTGGCTCCGGGTCTCTGTCTGCCGGCCCCTCCGGTAAGAGTTTGAAGGAAGCAGCTGTGTGCTCCCTCCCCTGTGGCTTCACCACCATTTCCCAGGTCGTGGCTCTGGAGACAGCGTGACGGATGGGCGGCATGGTGGTGGGAAAAGTGCTAAGAAGGCTTGCTGAGTGTGCCCCAGCCCACCTGGCGCAGGGGCCCTTCCCGGGCAAACTAGGGCCCACCCCAGGGGACCCAGATGGTCCTCCCTGAAAGCCACACTCGACTGGAAACTCCGAGGAGCAGGGCTTCCTATTTTAGCACTTGGCCCAGGGTCAGCAAAAAGTGAGCAAGCGACCCACACCACACTGGGTCCCCAGGAACAAACCACGACCCGGCAGGCAGTGCGGGCAAGTCCAGGAAGGCAACTGATTTGTGAAGTGTTTCTAAGATCCCTGTGGGTTTTAAGAACAACACAGAGATGCTCACCTGAGAAGCTGGCGAAGAGCCGGCAGAACTGTGAGAACCTGTTTCGGTGGAGCCACTGCTGGGCATCCTGGATCGAGGCTGACGGAAGCAGGTGCTGCAGGCAGAGAGAGTGGGGGGGGGGGGCCTTGACATGACCACGCCGGGTCTGCCCAGGGACACGCGGCCAGAGAGCCCGGCTGCAGACACTTACATCATTGCCCAGGGGCAAGGTCTCCACGGGGTGCGTCGGAGAGCTGTTCCTGCAAAGGAAGAGAACAAGCGATCAGCTGCGGGGACAGCCCCTTCTCCCAGCCCGGCGCTCTCCCCTCCCCTCATGGAATGGCACTCCCTCGTAAATGCAGCAGGGCCTCAAGAATTTCCCAGATCAGAGACATGTAGGCGGAACCACCTGCACAATCCCTCAAAATCCCTGACCAGCCCTTCAGGGCAGACACGATGTTCTGACTAGCAACACAGCCGGGCCAACAAATCACCCCTCCACCCCGAGCTTGGGGTTTGTTTGCATCCGATTCCCTCCCACGCAGAGATCCCCCCACCAGCCTCGGCCCCAGGGGAGGGCAAGCTGCCCAAGGAGCCCCAGGCGCTGTTTGGGTGCCTGGACAGCGGCAGCCAAATCCCCCTCTGAGGAGACAGGAGAGGGCTGCAGGCTCCTGGGGAGGTATCCCGCCCTGAACAGGTAGGCCGCAGCATGGCATCCATCCACGAGAACATTCTCATGGCTGGAGACACACCGCCCTCCCTCCAGGGCTCACCCATGGGGAAGGCACAGACCTAAATGCCTGGATTTTTTTAAATTAAGAGAAAGATACATCTTTAAATGACCCTCCCAGACAGACACAGTGAAGAAGGCACAACGTGGATGGACAGAGGTGTCTCATTCTACGTTTAAAATGACAACGTGGTAAGTGTTACTTTGCGTGCACTTTACCACAGTAGCAATGAAGAAAAAGCCCTCGCTGGGATGACCCTCAGACTGGTCGTCAGCGACAAGAGCTGCCCTTTGTCCAGTGTCCGTGAGGCGCCAGGCGCCTTACACAGTCCCCCCCCGGTCCCTGCATGAATCCTCACTCCCTTGGTAGCAGGGAAAGTGAGGCTGAGGGAGGTTAAGGAGCTCACCCCTAGAGAGGGGGGATTTAACACTTGGTCCACCTGAATCTGAGCATGACACCTTGGCTATGCGCGCCCCCTTCTCAGGGAGGCCCCTCATGACCTTGTGAAATCAAGTTCATGGACACTCTCACTCCCCCACTAGTAAAGTTCTCTGTACGCCAAGCACGGGCTTTGAGGACCCCACAGGTTCCACGCCTACCTGCTGAACCTGCCCGGTGTCTCCCTGCTTCCCATTGCCCCCCAGAAACAGGATCAGGATGTGTGCAGCCATCACAGTGGCACCGTGAGCCCTTCCTGTGTCACGCAGCCCGGGATGGGTCGGACCGATGCCCGCCAACCCCTGCACCATGGTCACCTTACAGTCAGTGTGGCCTGTGCATCTGCAGAGCCGGGTGACCAGGAGTGAGGCCACTCCCATATTACAAGCCCTGAAACATCCTGAGCTGACCCATGCTACCTGGAGAATGCACACAAGGACCCGGAGAGAACCAGGACAGGCCCTTGCAGCCGCTGGAGCCGCCCGAACGGCTGCCTCCTAAGGCCCCATCTGTCTAGGCCACTCTGCCCACCTGCTTCTACCGGGGGGAAGGGGTGGGAGGGCGGCTTCTGCCCCAGCAGACAGTGTTTACAGAAGCGTGTCCAAGCACAGAAAACGTGCAGCCCACTCTGGTGCCAGCACACCAAGCGGGGGAAGACACAGGGAAGAAGATCAAGGAAGGAGCCGAGACCCATCATCACTCCAGGACCTCCGAAGGGAAAGACGGCGGACGTACCCTTCACCAAGGCCGAAGCTGTTTGGAGAGCCATTGTAGCTTGGAGACGGGGCGCTGTTCACTTGGTAGGCCATGTCCGGCCACGGGGAACACTGCAGAAAGAGCAGAGGGCGGCAGTGACTCGTGGGCCGTGGCAGTCAGGAGGAATTCAGGCTACAGAGGTGCTGACCCGGCTCCCCTCCCCCGCAAACCAGCATCCATCGAGGCCGGCGCAGGAAACCACGGATCCCTCAGCATTCCCCCCGAGTCTCCCAGGGCCCACATGAGGCAGCGAAGTGTGGGTTTACTAGGGCCACGCCCAAGAATTCAAGCATGGCACAGGAGAGACCTGAGATGCAGCCATTCCCAGAGCAAGCGAAGCAAGGCATGCGTCTCCGTGGGCTTGCTAGCAGTCGAACCAACGAGGGAAAGAAACCTCATCGGTCACCTGGGTCCACAGGGAAAGAGCTGACGACAGAGGCCAGCTGCCTGGAGGGCAGGGTTTCCAGGTGTAGACGAATGTGTGTCCACGCATGAAAGAGGGAGCACTGGACACGGATAACTTCCAAACAAAAATCATCAGTGAAGTTCAGTACTGAGGCGCCTGGGTGGCTCAGTCGGTTAAGTGTCCAGACTCTTGGTTTCGGCTCAGGTCATGCTCTCGGGGTCATGAGATGGAGCCCCGCGCCAGGCTCCACGCGCACCGGGGAGTCTGCTTGTCCCTCTCCCTCTCCCTCTGCTCCTCCCCCTACTCTCTCGCTCCCTAAAATAAATAAATAAATAAAAATCTTACCAAAAAGTTCAGTACTAAAACCCGCACTATTTGAAAAGAGAAATGGCCAACAGGCCCTGGAGAGCACAAGGCACGTGAGCACCTCCAAGAGCAGGCCAGCCCCTCTGGACATCATTCTATGTATGTTTGTTACATGTCAGGTGTCCTGCGAGGAGCTAAGGGAGACAAAGAAAACACGAAAGACGTGATCCTTGACCTCAAGGCACTTCTTGTGCAGAAGCCAAAAATGAACATATGTGAGAATCGCCCAAAGAAAGCAAAGACATACAGGTTTTGCCTGTTGGGGAAGCCAGCAGACAAAGTATTCATTTCTTCCCTTCCCTGTGATGACACCTCTTTGGAGACAGCCAATTTGAAGCATTCCTAAGATTTACCATCATCCACCGAGCCACAGGTTGGTAAATATTTAACTCTGTTGTGCATGTGGGCTGGAATTTCGCGGTGCTAAACTTGGGAGCTGAGGAGGAAAAGCCAACAACCTGTCACCTGGCAAGGTCATGGGCCAGGTGGGGGTTTTGACCAACTGCACCACGCTCTGAGAAGGGCTTGGAAGGACGTGGTCTAAAGCACCCCTGGCCATCAGGTGAAGGTCAGAGGAGAGTCAGGAGCAGAGAGGTTGAGGCTCAGCCTAGAACGGAAAGGTGTCTGGAGGCAGAGGGCTGTGGGAGCATGGAGAGCACCCTGGGGTGCCCCCACGGAGGGGACTAGGGCCTGGGGAGAGCTAACTGGTCTGAGCGCTAATTCACAAATGCAGGGCCTAGCACTGCTTTGCTGCTGAGAGTAAGCCAGGCTCTTCCTACGCCGGGACTCTCTGGCCACTGTTATCCTGAGCCTGATAAAACACCAGTTACGTATCTCTCTCTGCCGCAAAATTAGCTTCCGTACTCTATCTTGTTGCAAATACCCTTCTGCACATGGCTTATTACACATGCGTGCACGCACGCGCACACACGCACACACACACACACACACACCTCATCAGGCAGGACTGGCCACCATTCTCTTAGGTGCTCTGTGCCCGGGCCTCCCCTCCTCACTTAACACAGTCTTAACCCCCACCATGGCCGGTGCGGGGCCTCATGTATTTGTGGAGGGCTTTCTAAGCACGTCAAATTATTCAACAAACAAACGCCCACGAGCTGGACTGATTACAGAATGCAGTGGGGAATAGTTGTTTAAAAAAAAACAACAGAGCCCAGAAAGAAGTGGCACCAGCGGTGACCAGTGGCAGGAGGAAGAAGCACCTGAGACAGTGAGTGTCTGAGAAGTAATGTTGGACACAAGGATGGTGGGGAGCAGGGTGCTGCTGGAGTCTGGGTTAGGAGGGAACACATTCTAGTATCCATCCAAACAACAGGGCAGCAAAGTAGTTCGCAGCCCTTGACCTGGGGAGCCCGCTCTGAGAACAGAAGCCTGCAGAGATCTACCGCATGCAGAACTTCACGCGCCCAGGGTCACTCGCTGCACCCTGTGGACACAGCGAGCACAGAAAGCACCAAACGTCCACCCACAGGCCATCTATCTACATAACAGAGGCCACGCCTCTGGGTAAAGAACCAGAAAGCTCTTTATGAACAGATGGGGAACAGACTCCAAGCTAGGCTATTAGATAAGGCAAGCAAGTTACAGAACAGCATGTCAGCGTACACTGCTGGGTGTAAAGGCAGCAGGCGTGGATGAATTGGACGAATTGGCTTCACTGGAAGAGAAAGCTGGGCCACGTACATGAGGAGCCAGAGACGCCAGGCGCCCCGGGGAGGGAAAGCTCGAGGCCAGGACAGTTTGGAGAGAGGTATTTTCTGATGTATATACACTCTCCTCTATTGGATTTTGGAGCTTTACCTATTAAAACGATAATCACCAGATTCTGGAAAGTGCAAACGGCAGCACCAGGCTGGAAGTTATTTCGGAAACGCCATCCCGACCCCTGGGCCTCATCACATGAACCACAGCTCTGGACCTGGGAACCTACCACGACTTCACGGGCACTTTCAAAAGAGGCATTTACCCACAGTGGGCGTTCTTCCCAAGAATCTAAACCAACAGTGCGCCATCATCCTGCTCCTGGCAAAAGGCTGGTGGGGGCGGGCCACACCCCGGCAGTAGGCCAGCTCACCTCTGTGAGAATGGTGGTCTCGTAGGACGGCTGGTACTTCTCCTTCTCCTGGGCAGTTCTTTTCTCCATCTTTTCCCGGTCGGTCTTCTGTTTCCGGTCAGCTCCCTTGGGCTACAAGTGCAGAGCACAGGAGTCCAATTAGTCCAAAGTGAGCAGAGGCGGCTGTCAGAGAAAGACCCGGGGCTCGGCGACAGTCCCCAAGGCCTGCGTGCTCCCGGCCTCTCCCCGGGGCCCGGGAGTCCAGGCAGGATCCTCGCTCACCTCCCAGGCGTCAAGCACACGGTCCTCCTCCTGGAGCCCCTCCCCTTCCTCACCTGAGGGAACTCACGGCCTGCTACAGGGTCCTGCCACTCAGCTGCTCAGGGGGAAATGCCAGCCCCTCTACCAGGGGCTGCTGGCCCATGGACAAAACCCTTGGGAGCCACAGCAAATTGCAATGCGTGCCTTGGGTTACCAGTGGAGGGCGAAGGAAGTGGAAGAAGTCAGGGCTGCTGGTGGGAGTTTGGTCTGCACCTGTGTGCTGGGAAATCCTGGACACATCGTGAAGGCCTCCCAGCTCCCAACTCCAGGACTAGCGTGCAGCTCCCCGCTCACACGCCCCACACAGGGTAACCCCTCCAACCTCACAGAGCCTATGCTGGGCGCCCAGCAAACATGAGCAACTTACAGAGGCACTACTACTCCTGTCATTTACAGGTAAGGAAACTGAGGCTCAAGTGACTTGTCAAGAATGGAGAAGAACCTGCTCTGGCTGGTCGGGGTCTTCAAAAACAAAAACCCGAAGCAGAAGCAAGTGTTGACCAGGTGAAGAATCCAAGATATATACCATGTCCAGGTATATATCGCAACCTGGCCCACCAACCAGCCCTGCGCCTGGGTCGCTCTGGACGTCCTGTGACTATCACCTTCTCTGAGTTCACAGCCTGCTTGGTGGTTTCTGACATTAAGTCTCCAAGCAGCCCCAGAGCCCCAAACTGAGCGGTCTCCCTGTGGATGCAGTGGACCGTGCATGGTGCACAATCAGTGAAAACAACCTTCAGGGTTGCCACCTTCAGGGACTTTCATCCCAGAATGCACCTTCCTCAGGCCACACAGCTTTTCATTTCCAGCTCAAGAGCGTTTTAGGAGACCACCCTCGGGGTGATGTGATACCCATGTTAAAACAGAGGCAGGTCTGCAGGGGGTCCTCTGGGGGCAGGGATGACAGATCTGGTGTTCAGAGAAAGACCAGGCACGCAGCACCTATACCCCAGTCGCCTGCCTGCTCCCCAGCCCCTGCCCCTAACAGGAGGCTCTTCCTCCCCGTCCAGAGGCCATAGGGCGAGCCTGCGTGTGGGGAAGGCACTTGTCCCAGTGAGGCCTGTGGAGAGCTGGCTGGTCCGAGAGGGGTCCTGTCTGTCCTGTCAGAGGCCCTGACACCCCCCCCACCCCCAAGCCCGAGCCTTGCTCCAGCCAAGCAGGAGGCTGCCCCGTGACGAGGGTGACAGGGGTGGAAGAATGACAGCCAAGTCACTGAGACTCTGCCTGGCGCTTGCACGCAACCGCTTGAGCTGCTTCTGTGATGGGGCTGGGCGCACAGGGTAGCCACACCTCCCCAGGCATTCTGAGAAGCCCGTTTCAGGTGACTGGGGCCCCTACGTCCCTGCAGGAGATGCCAAGGCCTGCCTTGGGTCACTCAGACAAGGCAGCTTCTGGATCAATTCCCGTGATAGCTGGTGTGTGGTCCAAAAGCCTGGAGCCCTCACCCCTGAACTTCTGCCTCGAGGTGTAGACAGGGGAGCTGGCGGGGGCCATGGGAAGGCCTAGGCGCTCCAGCGGGGGGAGACACTGTCCGTCTCTCCTGCTGCGCTGTGCGGCCTCTGAGCCCCAGGAATTCCGCTGGATGCCACTGGACCTGAGCACAAGGACAGCCAGCCGGGCCACAGATGTGGCGCACACAACGAGGACAGAGGTGTGACCGGGGACAGGCACAGACATCCGGCGGCGCAGCTGTGGGGCCATCCACGGGAAGTCAGCACCCCGAGACCCCGGAGCGGGCAGCAAGAAGGAAGGCCGGAGGCCGCGGCACCCACCGCACTGGTGGTCGGGCTCAGGGGAGGGGTGTGTGTCGGAAACGGCCACGTCCTGATCCCCAGGGGCCTGAGGCTGTCAGCTCCCAAGGCTGCAGCGGAATCAGGACTGCGAGCAGTGGGGGAAGGGCACAGGAAGATGAGCCTGCGGCATCCCAGAGGCTCCGACGTAATCACGGGGCCGGTAAAGGTGGGCGAGGGGCCGGGGAGAGGAGGCCGGAGCGGTATGACCCCAAGAGCCCGGCGCTCTTGCCAGCTCTGAAGACAGGCGGACGGGCCACAGGCGAGGAACGCAGAGGCCTCTAGAAGCTGGCAAAGGGAAGCAGAGGGAGCCTCCGGAAAGGAATGCAGCCCTCCTCACACCTTGATTGTAGCCCAGTGAGACCTCGTCGGACTTCTGACCACCAGCCCTGAGAGGTAATACGTGTGTGTGGCTCGAAGCCACTAAACCTGTGGTCCTTTGTTCCAGAGGCAACAGGAAACAACTATGGTGGGCTTGACTGCAAGGAGTCATCGTCCCGAAGCAGGTTTCTGAAGAGTGCTACCGCTCTGGCACGAACGACAATCACGCTCCCACCACGACCCGTGCCTTCCCACCTGGGGCGGCCTCGCTAACTGAGCCGGGGCCCGCCCCTCCCTCACCCCTGCGGACGCCACAGGCTCTGCTGCGACCCTGCATCTCCCCAGGCCACGCAGGACTCTGGGCTGCAGCACCAGCCACCGACCACGTCTAGGATGCATCGGTCCAGACAGCTGAGATGAAAAGTAGTGAACAGGCAACTGCGGGGGGCGGGGCGGGGGAGAGGGGGGACACAGGAAGGAAAAGAGAGGGGATGCCTCCAAACATGTTTCCTTCTCCAGCAGGAGGCCGCGACACAGGGAGCTCTACGGCCTCGGGCCCTCCATAAGAACATCTGGGGCCAGGACTTCCGCACGGGGTCTCTTGACTTGATTGTTAAGGAGAATCTCATGGGCAACTACAGAATCTGTGGCCAACTACAAAGCGCTTGGGAAGAAAACGAAAACCTAAACACGTGCAAGTCCTGGCAGTCTTACAAAGCAGAGCCGGGCTCAGCCACCCGTGCTGCTGCACGACAGAAGGTGCCCCCGCACAGGACGCCCACAGCGGGCAGGCCCTGTCAGCCCAGGACGTGCGGGCTCACGCTCCTCGGGGGCCCAGGTGCATGGGACGCCAGGCTTGCGCGGCTGTCCCTGTCCAGCACAGGCGGGGACCCCACGGGCATGGCGGCCACAGGTGTGCACAGTGGGGCAAGGACATCCTACCTTGAACACCTTGATCTGGCAGCTGGCTGAGTGCAAGTGCTCTGTGTACTCCCCATTCTCGTTCTGCTTAAATGTATCAATCTGCACCCGGAAAGGCACCCCCTTCTCGCCGCCGTGCTTCCGGGGAGTGAACTCTGTGCTGATGCAGTGCACCTGGAAGGGGAAATGTGGGCCGGGAGCAAGGAGAGGGGTGAGGCCAGGTCCTGGACTCCTCAAGGGCCCCTCGCCAAATGGAGGTTTCCGTCCTGCCTCGTCAGGTGCACACCTGCCTCAGCCTCCCCGCTCTCCCACCCACACTCCCATCAGGGCGATGGCCTCCCCCTGTCCCCTTTACGAAGGACACGCCCTCCCACCTTTGTCCCTTGACCTTGGAGGCCCTGCCTGAGCAGCTCCGTCCTCGCCACTGCTCAGGCCCAGGGGCCCCAGCGGCCCCACCCTCACTCCCTCCTCCCCTTTGGCAGATCCCACAGACTGCACAGCTCTGTCCCCAGTGGCCCTGGCATCCCGGTTACTCGGGCCAGGCCAGGAGCAGGACCGGGAGGCTAGAACCATTTCTATGTTACCAGTACCTGCTACAGAAAAAGGCACTGGGTAACATATTTCTTATTGTAATACTATACTACTGCAATAATATATATTATTGTGGTAATACAATAATATTGTAATCATAACTTTAAAATACAATAAGAATGTTGTAATTATGTAAAAAAAAAAAAATCACTAACTTTTACTGAGCAATTGCTATGGACCAGGCACTGCAGTAATGACTTTATGTTCATTATCTGATTTATAAGACAGGTAGAAAAACTAAGAGGCTCGGAAAGGGACATAGAGTAAGGGAGAGAGCATGTGTCAGCCCAGAAGCACAGCGGCCCCGCCAGGCCCCTGGATCCACACCAGGTGCTTGATCACCAAATAATTAATTGAATTAAAGAAACTCTCCTGGAAAAAAATTTCATTACATGTTATCTATGCGAGGACAAACTTATTTTGTAACAAGCTTACATATTGTTAAGCAAAACCCACACAGAGTTCTACAACATGCCAAGTCCTCTTCTAGCTCTGGGGACCAACCAGCTCTGTGACTGAGCCACACTCCTGTACCCCATTCCCTACAACGTGCATCCCTGCAACACAGAACAGAGCCCATCGGGACCCCGCGGGTGGATTATTTTGAGGAACATACAGGCCCCAAAACTCTGGCTTCCCCCTCCCGCTTACCTGAATGAACGCAGAGGCTCTCTTCGAAGGGTCCCACAAAAATTCGACTGCGTTCAGCTGGGTCGGGCTGGCCCTGGGGTCCAAGATACCAACAGACAGTGGAATATCTGCACACACATACACACACACAAAAGTGCAATTGTCAGCCACTCCCGAAGATTCAGGGAAGGACTCTCTCATTACAGGTCCAAATTCCTTAACCACAATTTGAAATGCCGAAAGTCCTGAAAACTAAGTTTTGCATAATTCATTTGGCAGCAAGCCCAACTTAAACTGCCATGAAGCCATTTCGAGTCTTTGTCCCATTTTGGGTGAACATTTTACCCCTACTGCAGAATATTAGTGGGCCTGGTTGCCTGTTGTGAGGCATTACCTGTCACTAGGGGGTCTATGTGCCCTGTTGTCATTCTAACTTCTAAATTCCAAAACCCAATGGCTCCCAGGGTTCGAGATAAAAGACTACGCATAGACCAGTGCCTCAGACCCCAAAATTCAATTTCTGTTGCCCATCTCTGCGATGCCCATGCTTCCCTTCTCAAACTCCTTTAAGGCAGGACCCTCTGCAAAGCCTTCCCAGCAATCCCCGATGGTAGGCCTTTGAATCAGAAGTCCCCGAGGGCAGGCCTGGTGGCATGGGCATGTCTGCCAGCCCCCACAGCATTTCACCCAGGGCAGGAGTGTATTAAAGTGCCCTATGGAGGCATGAGTCGGATGGTATCGGGGAAGAACCCCAATGTGCTCAGAGCCTTGGGCCCCTCATGGCCCAGGAGACTCACCGATATCCAGGATCCGGTCCCCAGGCCGGCTCCACCGCCATCCCTCCAGCTGCTGGTGTTCTGTGTACTGCAGCCGACGGTCGTGGAAAACCACGCGGATGATGCTCTAGGGAAGAGAGGCCAGTGGAGGGACAGGTAAGTGTGGGGCCGAGAAGGACCCCCAAGGAAAACTCCCACTGGGGCAAACCTCCCACCTTTTAAGACCAAGACCCCTCCTGCTGGAGCCTTCCTTCCTAGCTCTCAAGCTCCGTATGCTTCTCCCCACTCAGAACCCCAATAACAGGACACTGAGAATGAGGACTCTCTCTTTTCCAGAATTACTAAGTGCTTTACATACATGGCTAACCTATATACCTTTTTGTGCAGATGAGCCAACTGAAGCTCAGGAAAGTTCAGTAAGTGGCAAAGCCAGGCTCAAACCTGAGTCTGTTCAACCCAGAGCCTGTTCCATCAGCCCAGGACCCTCCAGCTCTTAGCACCGCCGGCTTGCCCCTGGCTGTTCAGACAGCACGCTCCAAGGGAACAGGAACCCACTCCCACTCTGGAGCTCTCCCCAAACCTCCCAGGCACTCCTGACCCCACCCCCAGCAAGCCCAGGTCCCCAGACATGCCCCCACCCCGCCAACAACTCCTGAGGAGGGAGAGCGGCCCCGCAGCCTTGCCTTGACATATTTTGTGTTCAGATCTTGAAAGTCTCCCAGCTTCCGATTCTCCAGCAGCCGGATTTCATAAGACTGACCTAGAAGGGGGTTAACAGGACATTTTCCATTTCTGAGGAGTTTCAGACCTGGGGTTCACCCAGACAGTGGCCTTCTTGACCTCCTCAGTGGCCACCCAGGCCTCACGGCCCCAAGGGACAGAGCGAGGAGTCAGTCCACGGCCAACTCAGATGGCTCTCTGGGCCGCACACCCCCATCTGTCCCCCAACCTGGTTGCGCTTAGGACACCCCAGGGAGCAAATCATGTGTCCCCAAGACACAGCACCTCTACAATTTTCAAAGAAATAGAATTCAATAAAAGGTGGTTAACGTTAAATTTATGGAACAGAACTTCACAGTTCTTTACCTCATAAAGGACGCCCCCCCATTCACTTGGATGGAGAACACAGCCACCCACTCAAATCCACGTTACAATAAATAACTGACCATACCCTTTCAGAAAGCAGGTTAGAGGAACGAGTAAAAGCCTGTTAAACATTGTCTCTAATTGCAGAATGAAAAGCATTTTCCCAAGTTAAAAGAATTTCATGTATTTAAAGGGTGTGGGGGATTCTATTTGGTGACACAGAACCAGCACAAGCTGGTTAAAGAATATACATGGGGAAAAGACTCATCAGTCATAACAGAGAGAACTGCATCTATGAATAACCTGAAGGAAACTACACGTGTTATCAGGAAATAAAATATAGTCTGAATAAATAGGATACATCACGTTCCTAGACAGGAAGACCATTTATCAAATGATGTCAATTCTTCCCCAAATTAAAGAAGTGTAACCACAACTCTAAAACACCCGTAAATATTTCACAACTTGATAAAGGATGTTTTACAAATTAAGAGAGAACGATTTAATGATGGTACTGGTAAATCTGACTGGCTGTTTGACATTGTTTTAATTTTTACATGAGGATAAGGACAGACTCACAAGAAGTAACAAAAATAGTCCTGAATACCTGTCCCCCAGTTTCCCCAGTGGTGGCAGCCAAGGTAAATACGGTACATCATGGAAACCAGGAGGCTGACCATGGCACAGTGCGGTTCACTCCACTACAGGCCTAACATGGAGCTCCCTGGGTTTTGCAAGTACTCACCTCATAGCAAATATCAAAACAAGATACCACTGGACTGAAGTCAACTTTCTTAAGGTTTTATGCAAACATGAATCATACGTATCAGACACTCAATAGGGAAGGACTTTCTGAAACCAAAATTGGGGAAAAGGGAAATCTACATACATTAAAATCTCTCTCTCCATATATATACATATACACACACACACACACACACACACACATATGTATGTATATTTATATGTATACATACACACACCCATATATATGAATGAAACTTAAATGCCAACAACAAATTAGGAACAGCACAAACCCAGTGGCTAGCAGTTTTAAAATAGTGAAAACAGCCATGATTAGAAAAAGACTAACCCCCCCACCCCCGCCCTGGTGGGTGGAATGCTGCCCATTCCCCCAAAAAGATTCGTCCATATTATCATCTCTAGAACCTGTGAATGTTATCTTGTATTTGGAAAAAGTGTCTTTGCAGATGCAATTAAAGACACTGAGATGAGGAGATATCCCTGGATTATCTGGAGGTCCCTAAATCTTATGACAAGTGTCCTTGTAAGAGATACGCGGGGTATAGAGAGGAGGCAATGTGACCAGCAGGGACTGGAGGGACCCAAGCCAAGAACACCTGGAGCCCCCAGAAGCTGCAAGATGCAGAGAATGGATTCCCCCCTAAAGCCCTGCCAAGCAGCATGGCCCTACCGGATTTCCGACTTCTAGCCTCCGGAACTACAGGAGAATAAACTTCTGCTGTTTTGTGTTAAGCCAACACGTTTGTAGTAATTTCTTAAAGCAGCCACAGGAAGCTAATATACTCTCCTCCCTATGGTGAATAATAGAATGGGTGAAGAACATGCAATTAAATCATTTATTCCAAATATTGGTCGACAACAACTACTGCAAAACACCACGTGAATCCTAGGGACCTGGAGAAGAGCAGAATGGACACAGGGCTGTAGGTCACAGAGCTCGTCGCCATGGCTCCCACCCAGCCTGAAAATGAGGTTGGCCACGCGCAGGAATACCCACTCAGCCAGTGCCCTTCCCAGCTTCCACCAGCCCCTGTGACAGGCCCAGCAGACACAAGGTTGCACCAAGCCCCCGCCCCCCTCAGGACGATGGGCTGGGCACCCTTCCCGTCAGAGGGAGGAGGCGCAAACCCCAAACTCTTGGCCTGCCCACTTGCCAGCTCAGAAGATGCAACTCATAGAAGGGTTTTGCGGACCTAACCAACACTTCTAGCTTTCGGAAAAAGCCAGATTTTTAACAGACATTTCCGGGCTCCTGAGCCAACATTCCCTTAACAGCAACATAAAATGGAGCCTCACACACCCTAACTGGTTTTTCCAGTGTCCTCCACCTTCTCCAAGGAAAAATGTAGCCGGCTCTGGCATGAGGCCTGAGGCCCAAGTGGTCATCACCATGGGTTTATGGGCACCCCAGGACCCAATTAATACTGACCCCCAGCTCTGCAGGGCAGCCCCAGCTCACGCAACCCCGAGGCTCCTCCTGCCCCACCCAGGGCACTTTCTTGAGCCTGAACATAAGAGTTTGGAATCAGTGCTAGTTAAGTGGGGCCCTAGGCCCGGGGCTACGGCCTCCTCCACCTGCTGCAGAGACCTGACCCACGCGGTTCTCCACGGCCTCTCCAATCTCCCGCCCTTGTCCCTTCCTCCTGCACACACATGCTCTGGAGCCCCTCCCTCCCATGCCTGCCTTGATGCCAACACTGGGGCCAGGCCAACCTCCCCAAGCCCAGCTCTCACACAGTGCGGGGCCATCAGAAGGCCATGGTTGGTCTGTGGTCACACACACTGATGAGCAAGGTCACAAAAGCAGAATTGACCGGGGGCACAGGGGCACCTCTCTGCTTGGCCTGCATCGTTTCTGGACAGGGTTGGGAGCCATAGGAAGTGGGCTCTGGGAAGGCACAGAGTCTATCTGTTCTGCTTACCACTGCACTGTTTGACACACAGTAGGTACTCAGCAAGTGCTTAAATGTGATTTTATATTTCTTTACAATGCTGTTCTGTGCTATGACTGTAGGGTTTACAAAACTAAGACAAGCTTTTGCCCTCAAAGGTCAGCAGTCTTCTGGGGTGTATCACACCACACAGGAAAAGCACTTATATAAGGCAGAATTTGAAAAATCTCCCTAAGAGACAAGAGAGATCCAAAGTTGGGCAACACTCACAGAGAATGGGGAGGGTGGGAAGGGTGACAAAAGGTCTGAATCAGGAGATAACATTGAAGTTGGACTTTGAAGAGTGTGCAGGATTTCCGTAGGGGAGGGGGTGAATGAGTGAGTAAGTAATCCCAAGTAAAACTGAGGCAAGGTGGTGGGAGGGGAGAGGCATGCCTTTGGGGAGCAAGAACTAGCAGCTTCCACTCACTGGGTGCTTACATAATGGCAAAGTCCTGCTCGGGATTAACTCACCCAAAGCTCAGCACAAGTCAACAGCTTGTGACAGGGGCAGCTTAGGATCATGAGCCCCACTGAGAGAAGGAGGCAGAGGTTCAGAGACATTACCCGACTTGGGCAAGCTTGCACAACTAGAAGTGGCAGAGCCAGGAGCAAAAACTAAATCTGTTTCCAGAACCTACCACATCCTACCTGGTGGGTGTCATTTGCTGGGCAAAGGACATCTGTAGTTCTACATGATTCTCTCTCAACTTCTCTCTTCTGGAAGGCATCCGGTTCCATTTCCCACCCTAACTAAAGTTTTCCTACAGCATCTCATGGCATATAAACCATCCCCATCCCAAGTTAAGATGGGTTTTTTTCTCCTTCCTTCTCTCTAGGAATAGCAGATTCCTAGGATGACCAAACCAACTTGCTGGGTGATCCTGCATATAGCATGTTGGCTCCATTTCCTAGTCTATAAAATATTCTGTTTCCTGGGGCGCCTGAGTGGCTTAGTCAGTTAAGCATCTGCCTTCGGTTCAGGTCATGATCTCGGGGTCCTGGGATCGAGCCCTGCATCGGGCTCCCTGCTCAGCGGGGAGTCTGCTTCTCTCTCTCCCTCTGCCCACCCCGCTCATGTTCTCTCAAATAAATAAAGTCTTTAAAAAAAAAAATCCTATAAAAAATATTCTGTTTCCCACATTCTAAACAACAATCTGGGAAGAAAAACAAGTACTACAGGAAATGATAGGAAAGCCTGTTCTAATTTCAGAATTGTAAAATGTGGCAAAAGAAAAAGTCGGCCCTAGAATCAAGGAAATAGGGCAATAAGTAACTACCATTTAGTTTCTATACAGCTACATGTCAGGACATTGCCAAGCCCATTATGTGCACTACTTGATTTAGTCCTCTCAAGAGTCCTATGAGGAAAAGCCATTATTGCCCTCATGTTATAGATGAGGAAATTAAAGTTAAGATCCAGAGAGGTTAAGAATCTTGGTGAAGATCAAACCCGGGTCTGTCAGACTCCAAAGACTGATCACTTAGCTGAACTACTACACAGAGTCTCCAGTGGCTTCAAAGGTCCCTTCTGGTTCTAACATTCAAAGAGTCCATCTATTACATTTCCTCCTGAATTTCTTCATATTCATCTTATCTGATGACCCTCTCCCACACACTTAAACCCTCCCCTTCCCTTCCCTTAAGGCTCAAATCCCTAATACACTATGACTTCAGTACCCCTGAAGCAATATGCACCTTCCAAGTCTGATGGACATGTAACCACATTGCGGCATAAGTTCTGATATTTGTTTCCTCATGATAAAATAGTCTCCCTGAAACACATATTCCTACTCCATTTAAAATACTCCAAAGATATATGGTTACAATACCTGAAACCATTATCATTTTTGACATGGAAACAGACCAAAAGAAAAGAATAAAGAACCCAGAAGTAGACTTCTAGATACCTGGAAACTTGATCTATGACAGTTGAGAAAAAACATAGACTTTTTAAGAGTGTGGAATAACTGGTTAT